CATGCCTGGGGGCAGAGAGCTGGAAATGTCTATTGCATTGTCACAACAGCCCCTACGTGAAAGTATGTGTTTTACAGAGAAAGAAATGGATGTGCCAGGCACTGTGGTGCTGCTGTCTAAAAAGAAGACAGATACTTTTTTTTTTAGTCATGAAAACTAACAATGTCTCAACTTTGGCAATGACTAGTTCTCAAACTACTGGAATTGCTGGGAGTCTTGTCAAAACAGAGGTTGCATTAATATCTCCACCTTCTAGAATGATCAAGACAGCCACATTGACGACAGTCTTCTGGTGACAGAACAGCTCTGGCATCCAATAATCTCGGAAAGGAGATTTTTAAAGTTTATCTCCAAATAAAGTTTTGCCACAGGGACACTCTGCTCAGAAAGAACACTGATGATGTATCTCATTGTGCTGGCCCTGTTCGGACCTGTCTTCATTTAAGAAATAACCCAGAAGGAATGCAACACAGTATGTTCCTTGAATAACTGCTTGACAGCTTCTAATGTTCACCTTGTGTCCCAGTAAATCTACTCATTGGTATTTACCCCCAAAACATGAGAGTTTATGTCCACCGAAAAATCTTACCAGAATGTTCATCACAACTTTATTGGGTACAACAGGATGAATCTCAAATGCACTGTGTTGCATGAAAGTAGCCAGACACAAATGAGATTATTGTGTATTATTTCAAGTATATTGTGGACCCTCTGAAGGGCTCCTGGGAGCTAACTGGACTCAAATTAAAAAACAAAAACAAGTACACAGAGCTTACCAGTCTACACAGGGGCCTCTCACGCAAACCATATTTCAGGGAGAAGCTTGCATTGAACTGCCTGCCTTCCTATACTGTGTTCTTGCCATCTGAGCCAGCCCTTATAAAGGAGTTCCTGGAATTGTATTTCCACCAATAGGTCTGAGGCTTTCAGCATCAGCATCTTCACTGACCAATCAGAATGGCTTCATTTGGACCAATCAAACTGTGAGGATTTAAAGTTCTCATTTAAAGTCCATCATGATGGGTCTTTGGGTCAAGACGGCAGGTAGGTAAACGCTGTATTGCCTCCTCCCCCAACCACATCAAAATTACAACTAAACTACAACACAACCATCATTCAGAACTGCCTGACATCTAACTGAATGGAGGTCCTACAACTACGAAATTAAAGAAGCAGAAGCAGCCACATCGAGACTGGTAGGAGGGGCGGAGGCGCGACGGGCTGGTCCCACACCCACGTGTGGCGGATAAAAATCAGGAGATACCTTGACTGGGAAGGTCCTCCCTGAGGACTGAGGGGTCCCTGTCCCACATCAGGCGCCCAGCTCAGGGTTCCAGTGCCAGGAAGAGAATCCCCATAACTTCAGGCTGGAAAAACCAATGGGAAATGAGGCTGAGGGAGGCTGTGGCTGCTGGAGCCCCAGGCGGCTCCTCTTAAAGGGCCCGCACATGGACTTACTCAGATGTGCTCCCTGTAAGCTTGGAGGGGAGGCAGCTTGAGGGGCGCCAGAGACATACAGGAAAGAACTGAGCTGTTTGGCCTCAGGACGAGGGCTGGAGAGGCAGCTTTCTCCTGGACAGACGTGCTGGCAGAGGCTGATGTTCCTTTGGTAAGCCCTTCCCTGGGGAAGCAGATGGCCGCCATATCTGGACTCCAGCAACCTGGCTCACACTGTTGCCCCCCGCCCCCACTCAACTTTCGGGCCCACCCAAGCTGTTTCCAAAGGCTTTACCATAGGATTGGCCTGTCTGGGATCCTGCTTCAGAGTTTCCTAAAATCTCTCAAACAAGCAGCATCTGGTCTCAGCAAGCCCCATACTTCTTGTTAAATGGCCCCAGGCCTGGCACTAGAAGCAGCCAGCTTTGGTTCACAACTTGGTTTATCTTGGGTACCTTCAAGCCCAGCACAAGAAGCAGCCATCAGCAGATCACTTTGTAGCTTAAGCCTGGTGGCCCCAGATAGAACACAGGCAGTGGCTGACCTTGCCCCAGGGCCAGCACACCCAGTGGACAACTCCAGACCACATCGAAACACCACCACCCAACCACCTCCACAAGTGACACACTCAATGAGTGGACTCAGTGGGTACCAGAGCCTTGATGAAGTAAATCTTGCTCTGTGTGGTGGGTCCCTCCACAGCTGATCCTCCAAGGTAGTCAGAGGCCAGAGGTCAGTGGGCACAGCCAGTCCTTGCAGCTGATCAACCTGAGTAAATCCCTCCCATTGATGTGCCAACAGCAATCAAGATTACATGCCCTGGCCAATTTGGCTCAGCGGTTGGAGCATCGGCCTGTGGACCAGAGAATCCTGGGTTCGGTTCCCCTAGGGGCACATACCAAAAAAAAAAAAAAAAAAGACTCAATTACAACAGAAAGGCATACAGTCCACACTAGGGGTGCACCTTGAGGGCCCAGCTAGGGTGATGAGGGAGGCTGTGCCACTGGATCCTACAGGACACCTACAACAATAGGCCACCTTACAATCCTAGAAGACATAGCAACTCTACCTAGTACATGGAAACAAACAAACACAGGGAAGCAGCCAAAATGAGGGGACAAAAAAACATGACCCAAATGAAAGAAAACAAAACTCCAGGAAAAGAATTAAGCAAAATGTAGATAAGAAATCAATCAGATACACAGTTCAGAAAACAGGTTATAAGATTGCTCAAGGAACTTAGTGAGACCTTCAAGGAACTTAAGGAGACTTCCAAGGAACTTAGTGAGAACATCAACAACATTAAAAAGGACCAGTCAGAAATGAAGGATGCACTAACTGAAATACCGAATAATTTACAGGGAATCAACAGTAGAGTCGGTAAAGCCAAGAAGCAAACCATCGATTTGGAATATAAGGAAGCAAAAAACACCCAATCAGAACAGCATGAAGAAAAAAGAATCCCAAAAAATGAGGATAGTATAAGGAGCCTCTGAGACAAATTTAGGCGTGCCAACATTTACATCATAGGGGTGCCAGAAGAAGAAGAGAAAGAACAAGAAATTGAAATCATATTTGAAACAATAATGACAGAAAACTTCCCTAACTTGGTGAAGGAAACAGACATACAAGTCCAGGAAACACAGAGTCCCAAACAAGATGAACCCAAAGGATCACACCAAGACACATCATCATCAAAATGCCAAAGGTTAAAGACAAAGAATCTTAAAAGCAGCAAGAGAAAAGCAGTCTATAACCTACAAAAAAGCTCCCATAAGACTTTCAGCTGATTTCTCAAAAGAAACTTTGCAGGCCAGAAAGGAGTGGCAAGAGATATTCAAGGTGATGAAAAGCAACGACCTATAACCAAGACTACTCTATCCTGCAAAGCTTTCATTTAGAATCGATGGACATATCAAGAGTTTCCCAGACAAGAAAAAGCTAAAGGAGTTGATCACCACCAAACCACTATTATATGAAATGTTGAAGGGTCTTTTTGAAGGAGAAGAACAAAAGTATGAACAATAAAATGGCAATTAATACATATCTATCAACAATTGAATCTACAAACAAAATGAGCAAGCAGAAACAGATACTAAGAACTTTTGTTGCTTGCCAAATGGGTGGGGGCTAGGGGGATGGGTGAAAAAGATGAAGAAATTAAGAACTACAAATTGGCCCTGGCCGGTTTGGCTTAGCATTTAGAGCATCCGCCCGTGGACCAGAGAGACCTGGGTTCAGTTCCTGCTAAGGACACGTACCTCGGTTGCAGTTTGTCCCCGGCCCTGGTTGGGGTTGTGTGGGTGGCAACCAGTCGGTGTGTCTCTCTTGCGTCAATGTTTCTCTCTTTCTCTCTCCCTTCCTCTCTTCCTTCCTCTCTCCCTCCCGCTCTATTTGAAGATAAATGCAAAAATGTCCTCTGGTGAGGATTTAAAAAAACAAATTGTTTGTTAGACTGATGAACCTCAAAGGGAAGGGGGGGAGGGCAGGATGAGATAAACCAAAGAACTTCTATGCATATATGCATAAACAATGGACACCTACAATAGTGTGGGGAAGGCTGGAGGGGGGTGGGATTGGGGAGGAGGGGGTGAATAGAGAAGAAGGGGGGACATCTGTAATACATTCAACAATACAGATAAGTTAAAATAAAGTCCATCATGATGGACCAATCAGGGACCAGGGTTGGGGACTTCTGTCTATACAAGTCAGCTCCCTGCTTGCTCTGAGAGCATACTTTCCCTTTCTGCTGAAGCCTGCCTTTCCTTGGCTGGAGCTGAAACAAAGATGGAGCACCAAAGACCTCTGGGACCACAACAGGGCGAGCAGCATAGAATAGAGTAGAGCTGTCTCACCTCGGCATCCAAACAGCCATGCCGTTCACATCCTTGCCGCTTTCTAATTGAGCTGTGACACCAGTGATCTGTTCCACAGCTGTGCTGTATCACAACTGAGCTGCTGTATCGTGGTTGAGCTGTTTGTATTGAATAAAGTTTCCTTCTTCACTGCACCCTGTTGGTATTGAATTGGCAAAACCACAGTGAAAAAAGCAGACTATCTTGGTTGCCTGAGGCTTGGAGGAAAATGGAGCGCAGTGAAGGAAGGTAGCCTAAAAAGGAGAACCGGGGAACATTTGGGGGTATCGGCATGTTCTATTTGTTGATCCGGGTGGTGGCTACACAGGGATAGACACATAAGAAAAGTTAATGGAGCTGCTCCCTGTTTGGACGTTTCAGTGTATGTAAGTTAATGCTTCAATGAAGTAGGTGCTCTTGGCACACATGTGCACCCACACACCATCCCAGGAGGCTCACCCCAGCGACGGCTCGGACTTCACCCACTTAGGAAAGGCTACCAGCCTCCTCCCTCCGGGACCTTCGGGGAAAGCGCGGGCCAGCCCCTCCCCGGCTGGGTCCGCCACAGCTGGCTGGGCGCTTCCCGAAGGGGCCGGGTCACGTGCGCCCCGCCCTCCCACCGCCCCCAGACCGCACACCCCGCCCCAGGCCCCGCCCTGCCTCCGTCCCGCCTTATCTGGCCCCTCGGCGGCGGCCGGGGAGGCGGCCGCGCGATGTCGCACGGAGCCGGGCTCGTCCGCACCACGTGCAGCAGTGGCGGCGCGTTCGGACCCAGGGCCGGCGCGGGACAGCGGGGCACTAGCACCTCGGAGGGGATGCTGGACCCAGTCTACCCCCGCACCCATGGGGCCCTGCTGAAAGTGGCGCAGATGGTAAGAGAGGCGGGGCCGCAAGGCCGGGGTCACACGGACTGGCCCAGGAAGGAAGGGATCCGTCCGCGAGGGGACGCCCTGGCGGCCGGGGCCGGGCGGAACCCGCCGGAGCACCGCGCGCAGTGGGGCGGGTGGGCGGTGGGGGACGGCGGCAAAGTCCGGTTGGAGGAAGGCTTCCTTCCCGAAAGTTGGCTGTGCAGCCCCCGCCCTGGAACTCAGCACCACCCCTGGTCCTTGCTTCCGTGGACTCATCTCCATGGCCCCAAGTTTCTCCAGCCGCCCGTCTGCGTGGCCTCACCCGCCCGCTGATAGCAGCCGCGGGCAGAAGTTCGCTTGCGTCTTCCTCTGCGCTGGGCCGCGCTGCTTCGAACCCCAGCCGCGGGGGCGGAAGAGTCGCCCGGGCCGCGGCGCTGAGGCAGCGAAACCCGACCTTTATCCCGCCGCGGCCTCTTTCCTCCCAGCCCAGCGCGGGGTGCCCTGCTCTGGGCGCGCTTTCGCCCCTGGAAGGGGGTCCGAAGGTCTCGCGTTCCAGGGGGGAGAAGAATAGGGACCCTGGGGCACCGTCCTGGCCCCCTGCCCTCGGAAGGTCGGAAGGAGGACCCAGATCTCAGGGGACCGTGGAAGGCAGAGGATCGATGAGGAAGGCCTGTTCTGGGGAGTCTGTACTTATTTGGGGGAGGCGGAGTCGCCCGAATGGGAGTCACCTGTGGAGTCAAGCAGGACGAAGGACTGGGCTGGAGTGTGACCAGTGCAGGGGCCTTCCATCAGGGCAGATGTGGCCAGGCCTGCTCTCTTGTTCCCCACTCTTTTGTCCTCATTTTTTTTGTTCTTTAAAAAATATTCATCTTAAACACTTTTCCCGTTTGCTGTGTTTTGAAACTGGGTTGGCCTCTTTGTGACTCTCCATTCATTGTCATGTTTGCAGCAAGAATGGTGAATGAAGCAGTGGTCGTTTTGAAGGGGGATGTGGGGAAAGGAATGTGGGGATAGGAACAAGGTCACAGCCCCAGAAGCTGGGGCCTGCTAAGGTGGACCAGCCCCAGGGAGCTGGACACAGGGTGAGGGCTGCCCATGCATTCATAACACTGTTATTCCGGTGTGTGTAGAGGGGGCTCTCATTTCCTGCTTGGGCCAGATCTGAAGGGAAGAGGACTGAGTTCCCTTTTCTCTAAGAAGGGTGTCTATGGCTCAGCGGTTGGAGGTGGACCAGAGTCCCGAGTTCGGTTCCCGCTAAGGGCACGTACTTTAAAAAAAAAAAGAAGCATGAATAAGAAGGGTGTCTAGATGGACCAGAAATGAGGAAGCAGAGGCATGTTAGCTACTACTAACAACGACTTTGAGTAAGACATAAGACAGTTTTTTGGTTCAGACTAAGATCTGATCAGCCAAAAAGAAGGGACCAATTTACCTCCCATCCTTAAAAGATGGGTGGAGTACCCTGGCCAGTGTGTCTCAGTTGGTTGAGCATCATCCCATGAACCTAAGGGTTGCCAGTTCAATTCCCAGTCGGGGACATGCCCAGGTTTTGGGCTCCATCCCCCGTTAGGGTGCTTGTGGGAGACAGCCAATAGATTTCTCTCTCTCTCCCTCTCCCTTTCTCTCTAAAAACCAATAAAAACATATGGGGGTGGGAGGAGATGGATGGGGTGAGACAGGCTCTACCTGAACACTGGAAGACATGCATGAGTGGCATGATGGTGGACAAAGATTGGGATGAGAAGCCTCCATCCTGGTCTATGAGTTTGAAAGGTAATGGGGGTAAGAAGGCTTCGTGTTGTGAGTCTTGTGGACAAAGACTGGAGAAGAGAAGCCTCCAATTCATTTTAAGCTCCTCAATTAGCTCTCACCTGTGGTCCTTGTGCCAGGTTGCAGGTGACAGTGATGGGTACTGTTCCAAAGAAGAGAACAAAGATGAGAATTGCTTCTCTGTGTGCCCCTCACAAAACCATGCCCAGGGGATTGTCATGCCTTCTCCCTTCCCTGGGGAACTCCCTGTGGCTGCAGGTTGATTTGAGCGGATCCCCCGGGAGTGAAGTTGCCCTTACAGGGTGGTCATATTACAACAGAGAGACTTATTTAGAACTGTCTACTTGGGCCTCTGGTCTAACGCCTCCCCATTCCCTCCTCCTCCTATTTTTCTGGGGTAACTGCTTGTTTTCTTTGTTGGGAAATGCATAGTCACATTTTAACATTGGGGGGGGAGTAGAAGGAGCTCAAACAGCGCCACCTTCGGGCATTCTATGGGTCTCTTATTTTGACCATTGATGTCTCACTTGCATCCTGAACAGGCTGACCCTTCTGTCCTAAACTTCCTCAAAAAGGGTCTTCATCGTGGTCTGATCAATGGACCTGCCAACATATTACATTAAGAAATCATGGAAAAGGCTATTATTCCTTTGGAGAACAGCTTCCTTGCTTTGCTTTGGGCCTCTTTGGGGTCCACCACTATCAGAAAATGAGAAGGTGAGAAAACAGGAAGAAAGTGAGTTTCTAAGTGACTGTTGGTACTTGACATGTCATTTCACTGAATCCTTATAATGATGCCTAGTTCTTTTTTGATCTTTCTCTTAAGATTAGAGATACAGTCACGATTGTTGTCTCTAAGGGACTGTGCTAGGAATTACATACTGTATATCATATATGTGTTATTGGATGTTTTTGAGAGTCCAGTGAAGTAATGTGTTTGCCAAATGAGGAAACTGGCAGAAAGTTTGAGGTACTAAAGTCAGACTAAAGTCTGCTGTTGGCAGCAGAGGTGGGGCCAACCCAGGTGACTGGCTTATATTTCCAGAAGACTTCAGAGTTACTGCTTGTTCATAGATCTAGGGAAATCAAAACCACAGTAAGATAGCACTCACTTCACACTGAAAAGGATGGCAGTAATAAAAAAGACATAATACCGAGCAGCAAGATTGTGAAGGATGTGAAGAAATCACCATCCCCCTCCACTGCCGGTGGGACCGTCAAATGGATACAGCCACTTTGGCACGGCTGTCAAATGGATACAGCCACTTTGGCACGGCTGTCAAATGGATTACAGCCACTTTGGCAAACAGTCTGGCAATTAGGTCCTTAGATTATGAAACATAGAGTTGACATATGATCCAGCAATTTCACTCCTGGGTATATACTCAGGAGAAATGAAAACATGTCTGTACAAACTTTTTTTTTTTTTTTATCCTCACCAGAGGATATTTTTCCATTTTTCGTTCAGATAGAGCGGGAGGGAGAGAGAGAAACATCGATGTGAAGGGACACATTGAGTGGCTGCCACCCGCATGACCAACCAGGGCCGGGGACAAACTGCAACCGAGGTACGTGCCCTCAGCGGGAACCGAACCCGGGTTTCTGTACCGCAGGCCGATGCTCCAACCGCTGAGCCAAACCGGCCAGGGCCATACAAACTTTTATATGCAAAGGTTCATAGCAGCATTATTCACAATAGCCAGAAGATATCAACAACCCAAATATCTATAAACTGATGAATGGATAAATAAAATGTAGTATATCCATACAATGGAATATTATTCAACAGAAAATGGAATGAAGTACTGACACATGCTACAACATGAACGAGCCTTCTGGTAATGCTGTTCCCTCATCCTTGCAAGATCTCTTCCTCAGAGAAGCCCTTCCTTACCCTCTTACCCCCGAGACAGGTCAGACCCCCTACTTAATTCTCTATGGTACGGACAATGGCTCGGAGTCTGGAGGGAGAAGTATTGCTATAGTTGGAGTGGAGGGAACATGGGTGGAAGAGACTGGGTGAGACTGGAGAAATATATAGGGACCAGGTCATCCAAGGCCTGCCAGACCAGGGTGAGGGTATGTCAGATCATGTCAGAGAAACCTTATGTCAATATCAACCCAGCACTGAGACTTCACTGTTCCCGTTAGGGGTCATTTTGAAACTTTGTTGAAACTCTCTTTTGGTTATCACAGGGATTAGGATCATATTAAGTATACATTTTATTCATTTCAGGATAATAATGAGAGCATTGGGAATACTTAATATCCTAAAGAGATGTTTTGTCTGAAAGGAGACTGAAGGAGTCCAGCTGGGCTGGGTGGAACCTGACTGGGGTGTGTGTGTCTGGGGAGGAGGCCAGAGCAATCATGGGCTACACTTTTATAGCCCAGTTCCCAAGTGGAATTAGACTGTGGGTGATGTCAACCTCTGGTCTAGCTGTAAATAGACCTATGAGTGGAGAATGACCCACCATAACCCTGAACCACTCACTCGTCTGTGTTCCGTTTTCGGTCTGTGTAGCAGGAGGAGTACCAGTTTGGATCCCAAATGCAGTCTGCACACCCATGTCCTATTCCCTGGAAGCTGGAGAGTCAAGGGCAGCAAAGAACCTCACTGCCAAGATTCTCTGACTCCAACCCAGTCCTGATCCAAGAACAAGAAACTACTTTCCGTCAATGGTCAAATAAAAACACTAAACAAAATAAGTTATAGGATTTATTCCTAATAATAAGCGTAATACCTGTTCATTGTAGAAACTTTGAGACACACAAAGAGCATAGACTCTCCCACTCTCTCCACTGAGATTAATATTTAAAGTAAAATATTAACCCTGGCCAGTTTTCTCAGTGGTTAGAGCATTGGCACGCAGACCTGAGAGACCCGGGTTCAGTTCCCACTAAGGGCATGTACCTCAGTTGCTGTTTGTCCCCGGCCCTGGTTGGGGTCATGCAGGTGGCAACCAGTCAATGTGTCTCTCTCACATTGATGTTTCTCTCTCTCTCTCTTCCTTCCTCTCTCTTCCGCTCTGTCTGAAGATAAATGCAACAAAAAAAGTCCTCGGGTGAGGATAAAAAAGAATAATAATAAAAAATAAAGTTAAATATTATACTATTTCATAGTACACGTATATAATTTAAGTGGTTTTTTTCTGTTTGTTTTTAAATAAAATTAGGATACTATATATATTCAGAGAAATGTTTTCTTTTTTTTCTTAATAGTGATTAATGTTTTCTCCTGTCACTTAAAGTTT